CACGGATGGCCACACTCGAGAACTTTGATGCACTTGCTGTTACACCGTTTGTAAAGCACAGGATCTTTGAAACATGGCAAACTTTTCTCATGTCCACACGGGAGAGTTTTCTTACAGTCAACTTTACATTGTTGTGTACATAACTTCCCGCATGCTTCCTGACAGTTGTGTCCACATGTGAGCATTTTTTCGCATTTTACTGGACAAGAGAATTTTTCTGGGTCAATACTGCATGGAACTGGCTGTTCGTGGCCGCACTGTGGGACCGTCTTCAACACAGGTTGACGGCACGGAGGACAGCTTCTTGGATAATGACACCTATTCTGGCATTGGTGGTCATTTTGGCTGCATTTCATGAAGCAAAATTTAGAACACTGGCCCTTTTCGTGAAAGTGGTCTGAGGCATGGCATGGCGTTTCACACGCATGCCCACAAACAAGACGTTCTCCACAGGGCATCTTACATCCTCCAAATTTGATATCAAACTCACGCGACGTTCTCACACTGGTGACTTTGTTGTGTCTCTTGCAAACCAGATCTAAAGTCTCTCCAATGGCTTTCTTTGTTTCTAAATCGTCACATATTTCCTGCCACAGCTTGCACTTGCTTTTCAGTTGCTTGAAGTTTCCAATGCAGTAAAATCCTTGGCGAGCTCGGGACAATGCAACACAGATTCTGTTTGACTCGTTTAAGAAACCAATTCGCTGGTCTGAGTTGCTTCTGACCAACGACAGAAGAATGATGTCGTTTTCTTCACCTTGAAAGTTATCCACTGCACAAACCCTGACACCCTCAAATGCTTTTCTTGGCATCTTCTCTTGAAGAAGTAATAGCTGACCGATGTACATTGTTAGAACTGTAATCTGGCTCCCGCTATATCCTTGAAGTAAAAGATAATTGCAAAGGGCTACTAAGAAGTCGGCTTCGTGAGGGTTAGAGTAACTTTGTAGACCGTCTACGTGGGCCTCGACCTCACAATGATCAATAAAGAACAGATTGTGAGTTAGGCCAGATATGTCTTTGAATTCGCACACCGTTTCGTGGTCAACAATTTCGTGATCGTAGATTCGTTTAGTCAGTGACGCAATTTCTGGCCGCATTCGATGCTGTATGGACAAGCGTTTGCAATCCATACTGTTCATTACCATTCTCTCGAACAGCGAAATCGACAGGTTGTATTTTAAGGCTAACTCATACACTGTTGCTTTTGGACGGAGTTGCTTGTGGTCTCCGATTAGAATGGTATGCTTTGTATCTTGTGCAAGAGAAGTGATGATGTGAGCTTCCATAACCTCAGCTGCTTCTTCGATTACAACAACTCTGGGGGCTACTCTCTGAAGCATTGAGTGGTATCGCGCTGCACCACTGGTCGTCATGCCAACAACAGTTGCGCGACGTATAACCTCTTCTTCTTCTTCAAATCTGACTGCCTCTTGTTCTTGACAAAGTTGGTCATACTCCTGTTCACCTCTTTGAATCTCTGCNCTCTCGAACAGCGAAATCGACAGGTTGTATTTTAAGGCTAACTCATACACTGTTGCTTTTGGACGGAGTTGTTTGTGGTCTCCGATTAGAATGGTATGCTTTGTATCGTGTGCAAGAGAAGTGATGATGTGAGCTTCCATAACTTCAGCTGCTTCTTCGATTACAACAACTCTGGGAGCTACTCTCTGAAGCATTGAGTGGTATCTCGCTGCACCACTGGTAGTCATGCCAACAACAGTTGCGCGACGTATAACCTCTTCTTCTTCATCAAATTTGACTGCCTCTTGTTCGTGACAAAGTTGGTCATACTCCTGTTCACCTCTTTGAATCTCTGCTCTGAAGCGTTCACGGTAACTCTCTACCCAAAAAAGGTACAACCGACGTCGATCCAAAGGGGATAAAAGCCAAATGTTGTCAACGCACATTGCTTCATCAGTGGGCATCGCAACTGTTTCTTCCAGAACAGGCTTCAAAGATTTGATATCTGCTGTTATTTTTATTTTGTTTCTCTTTCTCTTTGAAGATTTTGCAGTACTCGTCTCATCTCTCATCTGTTGTGTGCTGCTCTCATCAGTTGTTTGTTGCCATGGAAATTTTCCTCGTCTCTTCTTGTAGGGTACAGTTTGCCATCCCTCGTCTTGGTCTCCTTGGTCTTGATTCTGACAAGTTAAGTCATCCGACTGTTTAAACACAACTGGCAGGAAATCTTCATCTCCATGTATGCATCTTCCATATTGTATCAAATCAGCGTCCTTTTCTACTTCGATGGTACCTTCATCATTGTCGTCTTCCAAGCTTTGAGCTTCGTCAATCCATTTGATGTCTTGGATTTGATCTACTTGTTTTGAAGCTTTGTTTTTCTTTCTCTTTGAAGATTTTGTTTGAGCAGTACTTTTCTCCTTTGGATCATTAAGAACAGGGACGCTTTCCATTCCGTATTTGGAATTTTCATCTGTTGTTTGTTGCCATGGAAATTTTCCTCCTCTCTTGTTGTAGGGTACAGCTTGCCATACCTCGTCTTGGTCGCCTTGGGCTTGATTCTGACAACTTACGTCATCTGACTGTTCCGACATAACTGGCAGGAAATCTTCATCTCCGTGTATGCATCTTTGATATTGTATCACATCAGCGTCCCTTTCTACTTCGATGGTACCTTCATTACTGTCGTCTTTCAAGCTTTGAGGTTCTTCAATCCATTTGATGTCTCGGATTTGATCTGCTTGCTTTAGAGTTTGAGAAACTGGGCAATGTTGTACGTGAGAACTGTCTTTAGGTGCTGGCGGATTTCTGCTTTTGCCTTCAACATTGTGTAGAAGAACGTGTTCACCTTGTCTTGTTCTCGCCTGGTTCAAGGAGTCCAATCGCTTGTTGTTACATAGCCAGAGTTTGAAAGTGTTGCCAGGCGTTCGACACTCGTTTTCTGCGTTGGCAGGAAATACTGCATTGTACAGTTGTTCTACATGTTCAGAATTAAGCAGATTTTCCAAACTGTCGAATTCCAAAAGCTCTGTCTCAGCTTTGGAAAGTGAATTCTTCCAACCAGTTAATTCCGAGACTTTGCTTTGTATCATATCTCTGATTTCTCTTCGTCTTTCATGCATCCTGTGCTCGTCAGTAAAGAGTTTCAGATTACACTTTTCTAGTTGCGGACTTTTGCATCTTCCTCCAACACGTATGATCTGCTCTTTGGGAAGAAATTCTAATACTTTTTCTAAGAACTGATCCAGAGCGTGGTTTGTGTAACAGACCATAAGCATTGGCGAGAGTTTATCAGGGTCCCAGGCTGCTCGATTCTCAAGTAAGCATCGAACGATTTTGGCTCCAACATACGTCTTCCCTGTTCCTGGTGGTCCCTGGATGACAGAAAACTCAGTTGTGACTGCTGTTTTTAGCGCTTCAAACTGGGAGCTGTTAAGTGGAAGGATCTCAACAGAGGGCCAGGCTCTGGGCTGCAGGACAGGTACCCTACTTGCGTTCGTTTCATCTGGAACATCCAATGCCAACCTAAGATCATAGCACACTGGTTCTTGAGAATCCTCGCGCCTCAGATACTCGGGTGGATCGACATCTTCACTGCATTGAACCAGATATTTCTTGAATGGCATGGTAGTTTCATCCAATTCCTTCAGTCCTTTCAGGACATGACGATAAGCTTCATAGTAAGCAGGCGACTCAACCATTTGATACTCACATGTACGGTTTTCCACCCCCAATACATCTTGGTCCTCGATGAATCGAATCTCAAT